GTCACCACCACCAACACCACCACCATCACAATCATGAACGCCACCAGCCCATCCCCATAGACAACAAATGATCCTCATCCTCCACATCACCACCACTCGGGTCGGGCGAAAGGGGGGGATAGCAAAGGGGGGGTTTGAGAATCAGCTCACGTAGCTGACTTTCCTGGCGCCTCCCGGCGCCGGAGGCGACCAAGTATCGAGGAATGGGCCCCTCGGTGAGGCCGAAACCAGCTGCATGCAGCAAATTTCGTACCCCCCCCTTTCCCAATCCCCCCCTGTCGTCCGGCCCGAACCACCACCATCCCCTCCTCCTCCTCCTCCTCCTCCTCCTCCTCCTCCTCCTCCTCCTCCTCCTCCTCCTCCTCCTCCTCATCCTCCCCCTCATCATCATCATGCCACACGGCAGCCGCCGCTCCGGCCGCAGTTGCCCCGCACGCCCGCGGAAGAGGGCGGGAGGGGCGGGGGCACTTCGAGAGGATGGCCGTGCCGTTCGCTGGGCACCGCCAGTCCGGCGGCTGCGAGGCGAAGCCGCCGCCCGGACCTGGCGCCCTCCTCCTCAGCGTCCTCGTCCTCGTCCGCCTCGCCGTCCTCGTCCTCGTCCTCCTCCTCCTCTGTGCGTTTGCCAGTCAGTCAAACGCCGAGCACCCGAGAGGGCGCAGAGGCAACACGGGGTGTGTCCGTTGGCACGCACGCGAGCACACGGAGAGATAGTAAAACCAACGCGCGCGGTCGCGGATGTGCTGTAGCCAAGGGAAAGGGGGACCCTCCGTGCGCCACGCAAGCAGGCACCCCAGGAACCGTTAGACAATTCCTTTCCGGGGCCCAGCTTTCCGAGGTGCCCGACTCGGGGAAGCAGCGACGACGCGGCAGGCAGAGGCCGAGAGAAGGCCGACCCCAGCAAGGCCAGCCCGCGCAACAGGGGAGTTTCCCCCAACAGCTCGGGTAGGCGAGCGCGGAAGGAGAGAGACGAGAGGCGGGAGGAGCTCTTCGACAGGTTCGACAAACGTCGCTTGAGGACGAAAGCCCTCCAGCTACGCTGCGCAAAGGTCTTGGCCACGTGGCCGCTACGGTGGCACTCCAAGCGCAGGGAGAGAGGAAGAAAGAAACCAACGGAGGAGACAAAGAAGACCAAAATCCGGAAGCCGGCCTTACACGGGTAGCGTAAACTGATACACAGTTCGGACGCCCATTGCTGGCGCCGACGCCCGCTCTTGCGGCGAGCGAACCGTGCTCTGAACGAACGACCCAAGCGAATCAGCAGAGCAATGCCTTCGACCAGCGGTTTCGATGACGCCGTTTCCTAAACAGTGTCGTTGCGCACACTGGGCATGCACGGAGACAGGTCCCGAAAAAGACGCCGCAAACAACCACAGTCGAAACCACCCAAACGAGCACGATCGGCCCTCCGCAACCAGAGGGAGTTCCACAACTACAAAAGAGTACCCACGAAGCTCTTGAACTTTCTCGTGTCCACCCAAGTGACGATGCAGACCATAGTTTGTCAGCTTGCTCAAATATCCTGCTCGTCGTCGCAAGACACACGTCTTGATATCATCCACATCTGGATTCGGAATATTTTGCTGGTTGATACCTGCACCTGTGCTGTTTTGCCCCAGCTCTATGTCATGCCACACGTGCAACCTCCTTCCACGATAGCATGCAACATCGTTTGACATTCCGTCCGGAGTTGTGAGACATGCAATTTGTCGTCTGCGTATGACACGTCCCAGGAAACCATTTGAACCACATAGCCAGGCTCTTGCTGAAGACGTAGTGTATCAATCGCATCGTGCTGCATGAACGTTCGAAAATGCTATGAAAAGGTATGATGAGAGCAAACACCCTTGTGCTATCCCAGCGCTTCGTCGTCTTCCCAAAGAGTTTCCAGCGTGGTCCCAAATAGCGAATGAGCGGACCGCGTATGTGGACTGCACTTCCCACCATACGACCAGGATGTCTGAATCTGCGCAACGCTTAGCACATTGAAGCTCGATTTAATCCATCAGATGCCTTGGCCAAGTCAAGAATTAGCACACCTATCACATCAACGCTGTGATTGCGTGTGACATCGATGATGCGCCGCAAGAGCATAAGGGCGTCATCACTGCCACGCTCAAGGCGAAAACCAATGTGTGAATTAATCATGCGCTTCTCTGAACCTCCACGGATCAAACGCCCGTGAACAAACAAAACCAATAGTTTGCAACCAATCGAGGGTAACGAAATAGGCCGGTAGTTTCCTGGAAGGGCCGTGTCTCCTTCGCTACGCTAGGCAAACTCAGATCGACTGGGATCGTAGCGTCAGGATGGTAAACTAGCGGCACAGTGACGGGGGAATCGATCTAGGCGCTGTGGCCATCAAGCTAGACCTCTCTGAACGCAGCAGGAATCCTCCTCCTCCTCCACTCCATGTCCCCCTTGCCCCTGCTCCTGTAAGGCGAGGCCAGGACATCGGGCAAGGATGAATCAGAGATCTCTGAGGTCTGGCGGCTCTGGAGGGTGCACCTTGAGCCACGGACTTCTCAGAGTGTTCCGCAGCGCTCTGAGCACACCTCGGAACGCTCTTGAACGACCTATCCTTAAGTCGGGTGTGTCCCCCTACAGGGGGATTTTCGACGAAAAATAAAGCATACTCCAAAAATATTGCAGAATGGTTGAAAAATAATCAAAAATAGTCCCCAGGGTATTTTCTACTATTTTTGAATATCCTCCTGTAGAGGGACGGGCCCGACTTAAACCTATCCTTGTCCTGGCCCAACAGGATCCTGCCTGCCCCCCCCCACGCCTCCCCCCGTTGACGGAACCAAAAGGCACCGGCACCGCCACTCCCTGAACCTCGCCCGGGGGTGCATTCTGGCCAGGACTTCGAGACGAGTCCAGCGGTGGCGACGATGGCCTCCCAGGAGGCTCAAAGAGGGGAAACCGAGGCAATGGTAGCGGTACAGTGGGGTCCGACCGCAAGAAGCCTTCCATGAGAAAGCCCAACCCTGAGACCCCAGGACGTCCATTGATTTTTGGTGTGGGAACGTCAAGCTTTCCATAGCAAAACCATCGAAGCTCAAGAAACCCAGGGCACCCTGGAGGCAGGCAGGGTGTTTCTTGGCACAGGTTTCCACTGCATGGGTTAGGAGGCAACTACTTCGAGGTCTTCGTCGGAAAAAATCAAAAAGGATTAAGCCCCATTGGGGGGCTGTCATGCCGGAGTGGGCCTAGGATCAAGCCGGATTCAGCGGGATTCAACAGGATTAAGCCGGGCTGAGCGGGATTGAGCCGGACTAAGCGGAATGACGCCAGCTTCCGGCCCAGGGCAAAAACAGAGCTTGACCTCCCTGGAGCTGCATCCGAAGCATGGGCACCTTCTCCTCCTCTGGCCCCTGCAGCCCCAGCGACCCACTGCCAGGCGCCACTGCCGCCTGGAGTTGCACCGGGCCGCCAGCTGGCTGTCGTCGAGCGGGAGCGCGCAGCGCGCGGCCGCGAGGCTGGCGTGCCTGGGCGGCAGGCAGGGCGCAGGGGAGGGGGAGGCGGCAGGAGCGGTCAACAGCATGAGTTACGATGTCAATAAACAAAATTCTTGTGTAAGGGTCTTGAATGGGATTCCCTTGGCAGCCGATCTCAACAGGATGCCTGTTGCAGCCGATTTCAATAGGATTCCTTGTGTAACCGATTTCAAAAGGATCCCTGTCAATGAGGAAGACTGGGGGGGGTCCGAAGGAAGCAGGCAGAAGCCGAGGAAGAGGGATGAGTCGACATAGGGAGGACGATCGGTGGAGCAATAGCGAGGAACGCCAAGAATTGCAGGGGGCTGACAGCAGGAAGAGGAACAGGAGGGAGACGACTGAAGACAGATGCTCAACGTGGGATCGATCAGTGAAAATGCGAATGGGCGCCCCGACGATCGATGTGAAATTCGTGGGTGCTGGGGGGGGGGCTGCGCTGTATATATATATATATATATATATATATATATGTATATATGTATATATAAAAATACCCATCGGTCGGAAAAAGTAGGTAGAAACATGAAGTAGGAAGGCGGATAGAGTAGATTGGGTCCGGGCCCGCCCAGGGAGCAACAAAACGCAGCACAGGCATATCAATTATTGAAGTAGGAAGGCGCTTGAAGTAGACTGGGTTGTGGGAGTCCCAGAAAACCTACTTTCAACGACCGATGGGTAAATATACATGTAAGAATGTGTGCATGTATGTGGCGTCGATATGACATATGAGCATAGCACTCAAGAGAAATCGACTCGGATCGGAACGGGCGCCAGGTCGCCCTGCACACGCCTGGCGTTGCAGTGATCGCCCGCGACGCGGACTTCTGAGGAGCACGCGGTCCCTGCTGGGCGATAGGAGGAGGAGGAGGAGGAGGAGGCGGAGGAGGTGAGGAGGCGGAGGCGGAGGCGGAGGAGGAGGAGAGGAGGAGGAGGAGGAGGGGAAGGAGGAGGAGGTGCCCCCGCGAGGGCCCCTTCTGCGCACGCCCTCCCCCTCCCGCGGCCTCTTCGGTGCACGCTGCCCCCCTTGGAAGGAAGACAGCGTGAACTGCGCCCCGGCCGGCGGCGCCACACCGCAGAGGCTACCTCCATGACGCAGGCCGCTGCCAAGGAGTCGCCGTTGCCGAGGAGTCGCCATCGACTCCTCCTCCTCCTCCTCCTCCTCCTCCCCTCCTCCTCTCCTCCTCCTCCTCCTCTCCTCCTCCTCCTCCTCCTCCTCCTCCTCCTCCTCCTCCTCCTCCTGCCATGCAGCCGTCGGCCCGCAGCGAGCCAGGTCCAGCATCCGGCGGGGCAGGAGCGCGCCGAGCAGACCGCAGGAGGCCGAGCCTCAGAAGGTCACACACGAGCGCGTTCCACCAGTCGGTGGGGTACCTGCTCGCAAGTTGCCTGGATCCGCCGCAGGGGGATCTACAACATACCACACCGAGGCGAACGTCTTGCTTGTTCGGACGTTTGCGAGTGGGCACTCCCCCAGGAGAGAGTTCCACGATGGACAGCCCACAACGAATGGCCTCGGGGAGGCCGTTGGCAAGGCCAGACCAAAACGGTCCGTAGAGAGCAAGAGGAAGAAAGAGAAAGGAACAGAAGAGAAGGAGAGAGAGAGAGAAGAGAGGGAGGAAGAGAGAGAGAGAGAGACAGAGTAGACAGAGGGAGGACGACAGAGAGAGAGAAGAGAGAGAGAGAGGGAGGAAGATAGAGAGAGAGAGAGAGAAAAGAAAACAAATAGGAAGAGGGATATATAGGTAAGTATAGGGAGAGAGATAAGGGAGAGGGACGAGAGAAATGAAGAGACAGATAGAGAGAGAGAGAGAGAGAGATCTATATATATATATGGAAAACATCCAAAGCTGTAGTTCTCAAACTGACCCACGCGTGCTTGTGGACAACAAAGATGTGAACATGTGAGCACGTCAAAGAGAGAGAGAGACAGAGAGAGAGAGAGAGGCAGAGACAGAGACAGAGACAGAGAGAGAGAGGGGTGACAGAGAGGGAGAGAGAGAGATGGAGAGAGAGAGACAGAGAAGCAAACAGACAAGAGAGGAGCGAGACGCCAACACGAAAACGAGGAGACGGGAGAAAACTTCGCTGCCCCGGGCGGCCGCGGGAGCAGGCGGGTGCGCTGCACCGGCCGAGCGGCCTCCTCGCGGCGGCGGGGGGGCGACGGGGCGGCGGGCCCCCGGCGCGGCGGGCCGAGGAGCGGCAAGCCGACCGACCAGGCCCAGGCGCGAGACGACGACGACGACGACGACGACGACGACGACGACGACGACGACGACGACGACGACGACGACGACGACGACGACGACGACGACGGTGGGCACAGCAGCACGCGAGCCCGCCCAGGGAGCCGACGTCTTGGGGCCCCCGCGGGCGGTGGGCAGGGGCAGGTTTCGGCCCCAGGGGGCCCAGATATCCTTCCTGTTCCTCCTCCTCCTCCCCCTCCTCCTCCTCCTCCTAATCCTCCTCCTCCTCGTCATCATCCTCGTCTTCGTCCTCCTCGTCCCCCTCATGCTCATCCTCCTCTTTCTCCTCCTCATCATCATCAGCAGCAACATCCTCATCGTCAGCAGCATCATCATAATCAGCATCATAATCAGCATCACCATCATAGAATCATCATCATCAGCAGCAGCAGCATCAGCAGAAGCAGCATCAGCATCAGCATCAGAATGATGATCATCATCATGATCAGCAGCAATAGCATCATCAGCATCATCATCATCAGCATCATCAGCAGCATCAGCAGCATCATCAGCATCAGCAACATCATCAGCAGCAGCATCATCAGCCGCATCGTCATCATCACCACCACCACCACCATCATCATCATCATCATCGTCATTGGCATCAGTAATCATCATCATCATCATCATCATCATCATCATCATCATCATCATCATCATCATCATCATCATCATCATCATCATCATCATCATCATCATCATCAGCATCAGCATCATCATCATCATCATCAGCATCAGCATCATCGTCATCATCATCATCGTTATCATCATCGTCATCATCAGCATCAGCATCATCATCAGCATGAGCATCATCATCATCGTCATCATCATCAGCAGCAGCATCACCATAATCATCGGCAGCAGCATCAGTGTCATCCTCATCGTCATCCTTATCCTCCTCATCATAATCCTCATCATTTCACTCAACCTCATCCTCGTTAGCATCCTCATTCTCCTTCTCCTCATCATCTTCCTCACCCTATCCTCGTCCCGACCACCACCATCATCACCATCAGCATCAGCATCATCGTCAGCATCGTCATCGGCAGCATGATCATCAGCTTCAGCATCATCAGCATCATCAGAATCATCAACAGCATCATCAGCATCAGCATCATCCTCATCAGCATCATCATCATCATCATCATCATCAGTATCATCATCATGCTCATCATAATCATCAGCATCATCATCCTCAACATCATCATCAGTCTCAGCATCCTCATCATCATCCACATCATCCTTGCCCTCATCCTCATCCACCATCAGCATCATCACCATCACTATCAGCATCATCAGCAGCAGCAGCATCAGCAGCAACAGCAGCATCAGCATCAGCATTAGCATCAGCATGATGATCATCATCATGATCAGCAGCAATAGCATCAGCATCATCATCAGCATCATCAGCAGCATCAGCAGCATCAGCAGCATCATCAGCATCAGCAACATCATCAGCAGCAGCATCATCAGCCGCATCGTCATCATCACCACCACCACCACCATCATCATCATCGTCGTCGGCATCAGTAATCATCATCATCGTCATCATCATCGTCATCATCAGCATCAGCATCATCGTCAGCATCAGCATCAGCATCAGCATCATCATCATCATCATCATCATCATCATCATCATCATCATCATCATCGTCATCATCATCATCATCATCATCATCAGCAGCAGCATTACCATAATCATCAGCAGCAGCATCAGTGTCATCCTCATCGTCATCCTTATCCGCCTCATCCTAATCCGCATCATTATACTCAACCTCATCCTCGTTATCATCCTCATTCTCCTTCTCCGCATCATCTTCCTCATCCTATCCTCGTCCCGACCACCACCATCATCACCATCAGCATCAGCATCATCGTCAGCATCGTCATCAGCAGCATGATCATCAGCTTCAGCATCATCAGCATCATCAGCATCATCACCAGCATCATCAGCATCAGCATCATCCTCATCAGCATCATCATCATCATCAGTATCATGATCATGCTCATCATAATCATCAGCATCATCATCCTCAACATCATCATCAGTCTCAGCATCCTCATCATCATCCACATCATCCTTGCCCTCATCCTCATCACCACCACCATCAGCATCATCACCATCACTATCAGCATCATCAGCAAGAGCATCATCAGCATCAGCAGCATCATCAATATCACCATAAGCAGCATCATCATCATCAGCATCATCATCGCCACCACCACCATCATCATCAGCTTCATCATCATCAGCAGCAGCATCTGCATCACCATCATCATAATCCCCATCATCATCATCATCATCATCATCATCATGATCATCATCATCATCATCATGATCATCATCATCATCATCATCATCGGCATCATCCTCATCATCATCAACCTCACCATCATCCTCATGAGTAGCATGATCATCAGCCTTAGCATCATCATCATAATCAGCAGCATCATCTTAATATTATTCCTCAGCATCATCATCCTTAGCATCATAACCATCATCATCATCATCATCATCAGCAGCAGCATCAGCATCATCATATTTATCCTCTTCTCCTCTTCTCCTCCTCCTCATCCTCCTCCTCCTCATCATCATCAGCAGCAGCAGCATCAGCACCATCATGGTTTCCTCTTCTCTTCTTCTCCTCTTCTCCTCCTCCTCTTCTCCTCCTCCTCATCCTCCTCCTCCTGCTCGTCCCAGCGAACACGGTCGGCGGCACTGGCCGCAAGGCCTCCCTCGCAACAGTTCGGCCCCGGGGGCCCCGAACACGTCCACCGCCTGCGGCGGCGGTCCCCAGAGATCGATCCCCCGGGCGGCGGTCACGGATAGTGAACTCCTCCCTCGGCCACCGGGAGCCGCGCGGAGCCCGAGCGTGCGGGGCCGGACCCGGCGGGGAAGGGGCTGGGGTGGGGAGGGGGGGAGGTAGACAAGGAGGGGAGGGGGAGGGATCGAAGGAGGGGAGGAGGGGGTCGATGGGGGTCGAGGAGGGAAGGGGAAGGAGGGGAGGAGGGGAGCGAGGGGATCGAGGGGGGGGCGAGGGATCGAGAGAGGTAGCCAAGGAGGAGAGGAGGAGGGGGTCATGGACGGGGGGGGGGAGGGATCGAGGCATGGGAGAGCCTGCGAAGCGGGCCCCGCCAGCCCGGGCCGCCTGGCCAGCGCATGGGGTCGTAAGCCCAGCCAGCCCCGCAGGAGGCGCCCAGCACGGCTGGCCCAGCCAGCCTGGCCAACCCAGCGCAGGCCCAGCCAGCCCAGCAGGCCTAGATTTATGTCAGGCCTGTCCCCCTACAGGGAGGTTCTCGACGAAAAATAAAAAATACCCCACAACTGGTCAAAAAATACTCCAAAAATAGTCCTGGGACTATTTTTTGAACATTGTTCGCCTTTTTGGAACATTTTTGGGGTATTTTCACTTCTTCGTCGAAAATCCCCCTGTAGGGGGACACGCCCGACATCCCAGCCCTGACAACCAATGATGCCCAGTCCATCCAGCCGCAGCCCGGCAGGCCCCGCCGGCCAAGCCGCAGCCAGCTGCAGCCACAGCACAGCCAAGTCGAGCTTCGAGACCAGGCAGACGCTTGCTAAGATGATTGCCGCAGCTGTGCTGGGGCCTCGAAGGCCCTCCGGTGCACTCCCCGCCTGGGCCAAGCCCCGATTCGGGTGACCCCACGTGGCCTCTTCGAGTGACTCACGTAACATCACGTGGCCTCGCTGTTGTACAACACCAGCATGGTAGGCAAAGTAGGGAACCGAACTCTATACATCGACGCCTTTGTCTGGCCTCACACTGAATCTCGCACAACAAAGCGGATCCTGGTGTATACGGGATCCTGGTGTATACATTATTCGTTGTTTCCCCAAGGAAAACGTGGAAACAAGTATACACCACACCACCCCGACGTCGTCCCCGACCCTCAAGTCCTGGGATTGAAAAACCGCCCGCCACTAGTAATGTATATGCTCCAGTTTCCGACCAGCAAAAGCTTCGAGTCAACCACTGCATCCCCATCCCCCACTTTCGATCATTCGCCCCAATTCTCCGTCCCTTCATCCTACGCCTCTCCTCTTCTCTGAGGGGGGGACGGGCCTCACGGGGGGGGGGGGGGGAAACGTCGAGCTTGCATCGGCGACGCATCGGCGATAGATCGGCGATACATGCGCCCGACTGTGAAACCGCACGTTCTGGAGCGGGTGGGCTATAAGGCCGCTGTCGGCGATGAATGGGAGATAGGGGGTCGAAAACCTCTCGGAAGGGGCGAGTGCTTCTGAGAAGTCCCACCGCCTTCTGAGAAGGCCTTCCTCCATCTCGCTTCCCCCCCTCGCTGGCCGACGACTAGCGTTGCCCCTGAATCTCCGTCCCCCATTCAGGTCCTGTCTCCCAGAGGTCGGAGCCAGCGCTGGCGCAGGTGCCTGCCCGCAGGAAGAACCAGAGGGAGCAAAGGGTGGGCGGCGGGGAGCACATGGAGGACGAGGAGGACGAAGAGCGGGATCAAGAGGAAGTGTGGCGAAAGAGGCGGAGCGGTCCCCATCCTCCTCCTCCTACTCCTCCTCCTCCTCCTCCTCCGCCTCCTGCTCATCTTCATCCTCATCCTCATCCTCATACTAATGAATCCTCCTCCTAATCCTCATCCTTATCCTCCTCCTTATCCTCCTCCTCATGCTCATCCTCTTCCGCCTCATCCTCCTCCTCCTCCTTCTCCTAATCAACCTCGTAATCCTCCTCCTCCTCCTCTTCCTCCTCATCATCAACATCATCAGCATCATCATCATCAGCAGCACCAGCATCATCATTACCACCATCATGATCACCAGCATCAGCATCAGCATCAGCATCATCAGCATCATCATCATCATCAACATCATCATCAACATCATCATCATCACCATCACCATCACCATCACCATCACCATCATCATCATCATCATCATCGTCATCATCGTCATCATGAGCATCACCATCATGAGCATCACCATCATCATCGTCATCATCCTCATTATCATCCTCGTCCTCGTCAGCATCATCATCAGTATCAGCATCACTGTCAGCATCACCATCATCGTCATCATCATCATCATCATCATCATCGTCATCATCATCAGCATCGTCATCATCATCCTCATCCTCATCCACGAAGATGTGAAGGTGGAGGTGGAGGAGGCGTAGGCTGAGCAGTCGGAACTGAAGACAGAGAGGGAGGGAGAAGACAGAAGAGGAAGGGACAACGATTTACCGCGCAATAGCGCCGTCGACTGTGCGATTGGCACCGTGCAGCAAGACGGAACACCGCCAGACAAGCTGAGAACTCCACGCGAGACGTCAACAGCAGCGCAGCACCACCGCAGGGGCGAGAGAGAGAGAGGGAGAGAGAGGAGAGCGCTACGGCGATGTACGAAGCCTCGGCCTGGCTGGCCGCATGTCGAAAATTGTGCACGACCCTCAGGAAGGTGCAAAAAACCTTCGAGCTACAATATGTATATATATATACATAACAACTGAGAAACAACAAACAAAAAAAACACGCCAAAAAATAGAGGAACACAAAGCGGCATTCTCGGCGGTCCGCGCCGATTTCGTGGGTCGGCGCTGGACGGCCCTCCCTGGTGGGCGGAGCGCGCCGAGGGCGGCGCAGGAGGCGCCCCTTTGGGGGGGCCAACCGCCGAGTCAAGAATTCCGCGCGGAGCTCCAACCTATCGGGTTCACGCCGCTCTCTAATCTTCGAAATGCAGTCAGGATTGATCGGAGAGGACACGCGAGAGGACACGAGACCCTTCTGGGGGCCACACTGCCGCAGGATTCTAGATCCGGCAAGAGATCTTACAAGACCCTGCAGTATCCTGCAGGATCTGGTCGCGTCACACAGGTCAGTCGGGCTTTGCAGGATCCTGCAGGATCCTGCAGGATCCTCCGCGCTGACCCAGGTCGTTGAACCCCTGGCGCTGCAGGAACTTTCAGGGTCGAGCGCTCTGGCTGACCCCCGTTTGCATTGCCCGTCTCAAGGCTTCCCAGTTGGCGGCGAGCGAGGGGGGGAAATGAGAAGGCCAAGGCCTTCTCAGAAGGCGGCGGGACGTCTCGGAACCCCTCGCGCCTTCTGAAGGTACTTTATGTTTTCGTGGAAGGCTTCGAAAACTTCTCAGAATGTCAGCGAGACTTCCGGGCCTTGGGGAAAGGGCCGGCCCTTCTCACTTCCCCCGCCGGGCACGCCGACGACTCATGAAGATCGAGGATCGAGGTTCCGTCTGACCTGGGCGTCGGCGTCTGGAGACCGCTTCCCGACCCGCAGACCGTCAACGATGATGCAGAATGGAAAAGCCGCGGGGAGGCGGATGAAAAGGATGGGTTAGTAGGCAAACGCATCACACTTGATACACAATAAAGATACCCCCTAATCCTTTGGGATGGGACCTAAGTTAGTAGGGCCAACAACATTAGGGATACGGGAATCTTTCCTGCAGATGTATCAGACCAAGCCGCCCAGATGTATGTTCCCTAATGCGAAGACGGCCACCAAAATGAGGTAACTGATTCAGCGTGTCATCAGGGTTAGGGCTTCTTTTGCTCTCGATAAGACTACTCGCAAAGTAACTACTCGCAAATGGCCTGGATCCGCCGCGGGGGGGATTCCCGATCCATTCCGTCGACGTCAGCATGTGCTTTGTCCAGACGTTTGCGAGCAAGCACTTTGCAAGTAATGGAACGTGTTCGGTGAGGGTAGCGCTGAGTACGTCGTAAACATAAGCTATCGGAGGCTCGCGCAGTTTTCTTGCGTCAACGCTGGACGCCCCCATTGAACGCTCCGCGCGCCAGGGGAGGGCGCCAGAGGCGCAGCCAGGGAGGCCCAGAGACGATCCACAAAATCCGCACGGAGCTCCGAATGCTTGACGTGTGTGCCAATATTTCTTCTTCGATGCGTGAAAGAAAACGATGACATGGAGAACGCAGAGGATCATATCGGGGAGGAGCGAGACCGCGCCTGCGCAGAGGCCCACGCGAAGCCGCCGACGAACTCCGCAGTTGCCAGATCGATGGACACCGTCGCCCCACCTTCGGGGTCAGAAACATGCGCGCCCAGACCTCACCCTCAGGCAGGAACCCAGGGAGGGGATGAAGGAGGACAGGCTCGCAAAGGCGAGGATGGGGTAGGTACCAGTTCTGTGCCGCCAGCACCGGTCACTGCCATGGAATATGTCACGAGATTGTTCCCGTTGTACCGCATAGTGCCCAGCGTGTTGTCCGAGTACGCCGATTGGAACCCACCATCGCGGGAAGCATTACTCTCACTCCAGAAGTAAAACGTCCCAGACTCCTTGGCGGTCAAGACGAAGCTGGCTCCTCGATACTCTCTGTGTGGCCCCATCCAGAACCTCGTCCCAACTGGGATACCGCTGGTGTGGACTGAATCCGCCACTGCGACCCCTGGCGCGTCGGAGGTTGCAAGCACGCCAAGTGCTGTCTGAGAGGCTTCTGCAGCCTTCTGGGAGCCACTCCCCCCTCTCGCCACGCTGGGTCTGCATGAGTACCCCCCCCCTCCCGAGGCCACAATCTCTCGGAAAATGCAACAGGATGGCGATCCAAAGGCCAAGGTGCCTCCAAGACGGCCCACTATGGCCTCAAGACTGTCCAGCATGGCCTCAGAACGGATCAAGAAGCCTTCGAGACGCCCCAAGAGAATCCCGATAGTTTTCCCACGAGAGCCTCGAGAGGCACAAATCATTGATGCCCCATGTTCTCGTATGTTCTAGGTTTCGACGTCCCAAGACGGCCTAAGACGCCCCCAAGCAAGACCCAACCCGCAAGAGGGCCCCAGAATGGCCCAAGGGGGCTCGAAGATGGCCCAGGAGCGCCCAAGGCTGCCCAAGAGCGCTCAAACGGCCCCAAAAAAGGCCCACGAAGGGAAAAACGGCCCGACCATTCGAGCCGTCCGCCCCAAGATACCCCAGGAGGCCCCAAAGGAGGGCCCCCAGAACCCCCAAATGCAAGCATCACTGTCTATTCGAGGGTAGCCCCCAAGATGGTCACACAACCGCCCAACAGGGCCCCAAGACGGCCCAAAAAGTCCCAAAGACAAGCTCAATCAACAAGGCCCAGAAGAGCCCCTTGGACGACCCAGGAGGGAGCCAAAGGGGCCTCAAACTACCTCGAGAGGGACCCAGAACGGCCTCAGATGACCCGTGGGCGGCGCAAAACGGCCGCACGTCGGCCCGAGAAAGGCCCCCTAAACGGCCACGAAGGCCAGCAGAGAGCCCCAAGACGGCCCAGGGGGCCCCAAGGCGGCCAAAGAAGGCCCCAAGGGATCCCCAAGACTGCCCCACAGGAGCCCAAGACAACACCAACACAGCCCAAATAGGGTGCAGGTGAAGTCGTCGAGAAGTGAAGACGACAATTTACACACGTGACGGTTCTAATCCGTTTTTTTTTCTTCCTCCACCTCCTCCTCCTTCTCCTCTTCCTCGTGTTCCTGGTGCTTCGGCACTGCCACTGGCCCTACCAAGCGCGTGGAAATCGTTGCTGCAATACCGCGTCGGGTTCAGAGCGGCCCTGGGGGCCTTCGCCTGGGTCGACGGAGGTGCTGTGATCAATCGAAAACAAAAAAATAACAAACAAACAAAAAACGAAACGACCAGAAAGCACTGAAGGTGACGCGGGCTTACATGCAGAAGCGCCAGGAAATCATCATAATGGAAGCCACACGTGCTTGGCGAACTGACTGCACCACTCCCATGCTCCGCTTCAACTTGGCGACGATCAAAGACGGGTCTTGCGCGAGATGACGTAGCAGCCTCACGCGGCGGCATGCGCGGGCCGCCAGCCCAGCACGCTGCGCTGGAGACGAGGGCGCTCACGTGCGACCTTACTAGAAAAGTTTGCGCGCCAATGTCGGCGCAGACAACCCTGTTTTGTGCGTCACTCAACTGAAGACCAGATGTCTCCAACGCCCTCCCCAATCAGCGCGAGTGCTTCGTAGTGGACAGCGCGCCGCTCAGCGCCACAAGCCCCGCAGATGGTATAGCCAGTCGCTGCGACCCGGTGCAGAATGCTGACCTCGAATTCCCCCGCCCACGCAACTCTTGACGATGCCGCATGGAATATGCATCCGCTGACAGGCCCACTGGTGATCTTGATATGCGTCTATCACCACGTCCACGAAACAGTCGGGCACTGTGTTCATGTCCCTGGGGGCCCGCTTCGCGTAGGAATCGACGTCTCGTCTTGGACTCCGCCCAGCGCGCCCCAACGCGAACAGCCTGGCGCAGACCCTCCTGAAGACCAGCTCAAACTCTGGCGGTCTCAACGCCGAGTTCCCATTGACGACGTCGGCGGCTCCGAGGCAGGCGGCCTGAATCCAGAGGCGCCTGCTCCGGGAATCCCGGTTGAGGCCCACAGGGCGGGGGGGGCAACTGCGGCAAGTCGGGAGCGCGGTCCGGCTGCAACCCAAAGGACCCAACTAGACCTGGGCCCCCGACCTTCGCATGGAAAGGAGATTGCTTAAGGGCAACACGCCCAACCGATGAAGCGCGGCGCCGGCTGGAGCTGCGAAGATTAAGTCGGGCGCGCATGCCTCTCAGATTCAATATTTCACATGAATGATCCCACCATGCGGTTCGATGGGCGCTGCGCGCGTGAATGACACCCTCGGCAGTGCATTTCTGGCAAGGTCCAAGCGAACGGGCCGAACCCCACAATTTCTGGTTGCGTTACTCCTGGGCCACCCTCGACATGTTCATCTCGAAATCGGGGCCAGTAAACTTTCAACCCAACCGGATGCGCACATGGCGCGCAAAACACGATGCGTTGCACATCATTCGCGCGCGCGTGAAAACCACTCGCGCATCGTCCTCCCCGAGCGCGAATTACACGCGCCAGCGCTCCCCCCTCTCCCCCACGGCGGCGGCGAATGGGAAAAAATTGACGTTCACAGGTTGCGCCCCCAACATCGCATGCCCGCGAGAATGTCCGATGCGCTGCGCCACAGCCCGATCCAAGCAAGGTAGATGCCGCCCCCGAGATTGCCCACGCGCGCAACTTGGGAAGAGCTGGCCCTGGGACGCGGAGAACGGTCGCATTCCCGTGGAAATTATGATCCCCCATTGCTTGTCGACGCTGCAGGCCGCCCCGCGCGCCCCCTGCCCCGTCGAAGAACTCGCCCTGGAGACCAGCGCCCGCAACAAGATTGCAATGTTTATCCGCGCCGCGCGGCCCCGAGAAAAATCTCGCGGCACATCGCCAGCAAATGGCGCGCCGGGGTGGATTTCAAGAGACGGCGGTGTCCTGAACAATTCGTGCTGCGTGAGTATATATGATATGTCCTGGACCATCGCTATCCTCATCGCGTAGTTGGAAGCAAGCACCACATCGCTGTCGCAACAGACAGCGCGACGAACGTAGCCCGGCCATCGGCGCCGTCCAAATCGAAAACGAAAACCAGGTGAGTCCAGGGCGCATATATAGGCTCCATCAACCGAATGAGGAATGCCTCGCAAACCCCTGGTGCCCCCACGACGCCCTGCATGCTGGCCATGCTGCAATCAAGAAGGTCCGTGGCCCCAGCGCAAGGGGGGGGGGGCGACGGTAGCTCGGAGCTCCGTCGAGACTCGCAAATGTCACGCAGCAAGTCCAGCGACCACCCCCGGGAACCGGAGAGCAGTAGTGATGCGCGCAAGTTGCGTCGTATCGGAATCGATTTCCACGCCTTGGAAGCCGAAGAATATCCCGACCCCATGGGTGTCCCACGTGTAGATGCTGACGAACTAATGTCGTGACGTGGGTGCCGCAGCGGAACGGCTTGAACCTATGGGAACGCAGGTGGGACGGTCACATTTGCCGCTGCACTTGCGGCCGCAGTGATCGAACAACCCACTTCTGGAGAGAGGCAAATTGGCGGAATTGCCGCAAATTTATGAAGACCTGGACGCCGTTGGTTTTCAGTACGCCACACAAATTACAATATCCGCCAGAATCTCAATTCACCACTTGGTTCGGCACGGAGTCTCCTTCGGAAGACGTCGCAAGGGGGATGAGCGGTTTTCCACGGCAAGGCAATGACGACTACCATTGGTCTAACGTCTGCCGCCGCGCCTCTTGCTTAGGCCAGAGAAGCGCGGGCTCGAAGAAAATCACATACGTCGGGCCGTCAATATGGTCGGACTGCGCCTCGGAAGCAAGACTCATCAGCTGGGCCATCTGCAAGTCGGTCGGCTTGGAGGGGCTGCTGAATCAGTGCATGCCGAACTTGTTCAATTCGTGCATTCACTCCCCGTGGCCTGTAGACGTTCCAGGTCGAGAACAGCCGCTGGGAAAAACCTCCGCCGGCCTAGACAACTGCAGCGTCTTCCGGCGTTGTTGTCCTCGTTCTCGCCATTTGGCCCGCCGTATTGGACGAAGGCGTCTCTTGATGCGTCGAGCGTCCTCGGCACGTGTTAGTGCGCGGAAACTTCTCCGAATAACATGGAGGCCGCTTGATTCCCCAGGACCCTCTGGGGTGGATTTGCCAGCGCCGCAGGTGTGAGCAATGGACCGCTGGTCAACCTCTGTCTATGCAGAATCCTTGTACAGCAAGAATTTCTCCTGGTCAACATCTGCTTGCACAGCAAGAACTTCCTCTGGAAGTCCTTGTCGCACGCCTCGTCGGGGCTCTATCCCTTGAGGTTCTTCGGAGGACGCTAAGGCAACGTGAGCATAACATGCGGGAGCAATAAATGAGCCGCGGGTGGTGGAAAAGGACTCTCCTGTGCAAATTCTCGGATTTACTGTCACACACACACAAGGACGTGACACCATCCAATTCAGGATCAACACATACGTAATCGATTTGCGATCGTTGCTCCAACTTCCGTCTGATACCACACATCAAGAGACCTTCAGGGGTTGTCTTCAGACCAACGAACAGCATAGCACGAACATCAAAGTGTGCCATCCATGAGTAAACATCCCGTTGCTGCTCATGCGTGTGACTGCGGAACGGGGGAAGAAGACAAGCGCCGCTGCTAACATCAAGGTTCCAGGGCAGAATCGTATTCTCGTCAATTCCCGTAACCACAGGTAGTAGTTGCTGGGCCCGGCCGCACGCATGTAAGTAGAAATCACGCGTGTCCGCATAGATTTGCTTTATGGGCGTCTCGTGGGCAGCGCCTGGAAGAGTAAGAAAGAGAGAATGGCCGTCGAGTATACCAACATGATCGAGGAATAAACCTGCCGACTAGCTCCCAAAACGAACACAACGAATATTGTTCCCAGCTTTTGCGGGCACCAGGAAAGCGCAATCCTCGCCAATTTCCCCATCACCGAGGCTCGCCTCAGAAGTAGACGATATAATGCTATAGCCGTGTATGATTTTCCCAGCTGGCCATCTGGGAACTTCTTGAAGACATACGATGGCTTGACTCAGGCCCAGTCCCCGTAAAACACTGCCAGTGGACTTGCCAGCGCGGATACCCTTCTTCGAAATGTTCCAAATGACGACGGTCAAACTCGAAGACCTCTCCGAGGCCAAGCTCCCGGGGCACCCAAAGCTCCGGCCGCGGCCATCTCCGCGGAGGATCTCTGGATCACCAGTAAGCCAGTCTGGGCCCAGATGATAGTGGAGCCCTCCTGCACCTCCACGACCTGGACAGCCTGCAGATTGGACCTTCCAACCCATATAGCACAAATGTGGGGCCCTGGTGGTGTAGGTAGCGTCGATAACGGCCTCAATGAAACTCTGCAGCCTCCCCAACGTCGAATTACGCTTCTGGGCCACGGGCGTGGGATGGATGCGCAACCGGAGCTGCCTACCCTTCCAGTTGTTTTCCCCCCACCTTGAGATGGTCCTCCCATGTGTTCGAAAGCTCCTTCAAAAACTTCGGATGATGGGATGCGACTGGAATGGTTCTTGGCCCCCGTACGCTCGAGCCCCCAGACGTGCTCTTGAAGAGGCCCTGGCCCCGGAAGTACAGCGATTGCAAGGTGTCTCGGGTGACGGTTTCCTGGGCTTGTTCCAACCGTCGCCGCAGTGAGTGCATCGATCGCCGCTCGAGGTGTCACACGTTAGAGCCTCACGCATCCCGCGCGCAACGACCACCGAGAATGCTGTGCTGGTACGGTGGCGGGACTTGCCGCAGGCAGCCGGATAATAATAGAAATACGACCGATCTGTCCAACATTGCACTCCTTCTTCCAAGGAACTCACCACCCACGAAACGCCAGGAAAGTAAAGGCTCGCACCATCCACGTCCTGACTGCTGCTAAATGGAAAAAAACATTGAACACGGTGATTCTGCTGATGACGGTCGTCGCCGTTGGCATCACACACGCACACACGCACAGTTTGTCGGCGGCCCACCATGAGTGGTCCATATGACGTGGCCACGACAGGCTTGAAGGGCACATCGGTCGCAAAGGACCCAGCACGAGCTAGGACCAGCGCACCCACGAATGCCCGAACAGCCACGCACGCACGCACGCACGCACGCACACACACACACACACACACGAGCACACACTCTGACACACACTTTTTGGCGTCGCGGCTCTAGCGTATAAGGTCAGAACACAGTGAGGCGCGCGTCTAAGGCCAGCCGAGCACGCGTCTCTCTCTCTCTCTCTCTCTTTCTCTCTCTCTCTCTCTCTCGCTCCCTCTCCCTCTCTCTGTTTCTCACTTTCCCGATCTCGAACACACACTTAAAAAAAACATAAGCACGAACACACACACACACACACAGACACACAGAAACACACATCAGCACAACAGCACAACTGACCACAACAGCCAGCGGGCATTAATGGCCGGCGGAGCACGTACAGGCCAGATTTACTGCCTTACCCGGCAAAGAAGCACACCGATCAAGGCTGCACGGCTAGCACCTGACCTTTTTCTTTTCCCGGATAACGGTCGCGGGGAACCCGAAGAACCCACGGAACTCGGGGAACCCAGGGAACCCGAGGAACCCGGGAAACCTCCAGGCAACGGGCAATGTAAGAATCGGTGCACCGGGGGCGGGGAACCCTGGGAACCCGGGGAACCTTCGAGCAACGGGAAAGTACCCCCCCAGGCACCAGCGTTTAACCAAATCAGAACTCCTTACAAGCAGGCCAAATTGGGGAACAATACTCGGAGAGGGACGAGCATCTTCTGCACCGAACCAGGGGAGAGAGGAGAGTAGCATGCATAATCTGTATCTGTGGAACTGGGGGCGAAAGAGGATGAAACGATGACGGCGAGCAGAGGTGCGACACTGACGAGCAGAAGCATCAAGCGGGGCACGGCAGAGAGGCGGCAACGGCAGCCGAACGTACAAACATAAATGAGGGGAACGAAGAATGGCATAAGAACTCTGAGGTCTGCACGGATTTCTCGGATGGGCGCTGGACCTCCCTCACTGGCGCGCGGAGCGCGCCATGGGCGGCGCCGGAGGCGCCGCCAGGGAGGTCCAGCGCGGATCCGAGAAATCCGCGCGGACCTCCGAGTTGTTATGTTTATGCCATTCTTCGCTCCCCTAATACCATCGGCCCGGGCGAAAGGGGGGGATAGCAAGGGGGGGGGGTGAAAATCAGCTCACGTAGCTGATTTCCCCAGCGCCTTCCGGCGCCGGAGGCGCGCATGTATAGAGGGAGGGGCCCCTCGGCGGGGCCGAAACCAGCTGCATGCAGCAAGTTTCGTAACCCCCCCTTTCCCTATCCCCCCCTTTCGTCCGGTCCGATACAACGCACACACAACACACACACAACACCCACACACACACACACACACACACATTGGGCGCCCGAGTTATCCGGGGTAACTCGGGTCCGGGGTAACTCGGGTTTGGATTCCCGAAAAAGGAACCCGAGTTATCCCTGACCCGAGTTACCCCTGATGATTCGGGCTCTGGACGCCCGAAATATCTGGGGTAACTCGGGTCCGGGGTAACTCGGGTTTGGATTCCCGAAAAACGAACCCGAGTGATCCCTGACCCGAGTTACCCCTGATGATTCGGGGCTCTGAACACACACACACACACACACACACACACACACACGCACAACACACACACACACACCCACACACACGCACACGCACAACACACACACACACACACACACGCACAACACACACGCACACACAGGCACGGGCTTCCGGCCCCCCTCTCCCCAGGTCCTGCGGGTCGCACAGGCTGCTGTACCGCACGGGGTGGAAGACGAGGTACAGGGCGAGGAAGCGGGCGGAGAAGGGGCCCGCCGGCACCCCCCAGGGAGGGGGCTGCGCGCGCGGCCGCCGACGCGAATAACTCGGGCCCGGGGGTGAGTCTGGAGGGGAAGAACACACAGACACAATTGATCGTCGATCCCCCGGAAAATATGGGAACGTGTGGGACATGGGGGGGAAGACAAAAACCCAGCAAACATGGGAAGATATGGGGAATCCCGTCACTTGTGTCTATTTATTTGTGTGTCCCAGGGCCACTTCAGTGATGCACTGAAGTTTGGAATGCCAGATTTGTACAGTCGGACTTGATTGGAGAGGACACGAAAGAGGACGAAAGACCCTTTCCGAGGGGCACACTACCATAGGAATGCAGGAGGCACGGGTCGCAAGACACAGGACACGAGGGCACCCTTGATCTGGCAGGGTCGACCTACTAATCTGGGCCGCCTGTATGTGTGGAGCGACCGGAAGGTATTCGTCGGTACGCTCCCACTGGAGCGCCCGGAAGGACCTGCCAATGTTTGTCCCTCCTACTCCTTCGCCCCCGCCTCCGCCTCCGCCTCCCCCCCCTCCTCCTCACCCCTCCGCTTCCGCCTCCTCCCCCTGCTCACCCATCCGCCTCCGCCGCCTCAATCCCCCTCCGTCTTCGCCTCCTCCCCCTCCTCCTCCTCCTCCTCCTCCTCCTCCTCCTCCTCCTCCGCCCCTCCTCCTCCTCCTCCTCCCCAGCATCATCAGAATCATCATCAACCTCCTCCTCCTCTTGCTTTTTTTCCCCTTTCCTCCTCCTCCCCCTTCTCCTCCTCCTCCTCCTCCTCTTCCTCCTCCTCCTCCTCCTCCTCCTCCTCCTCCTCCTCTTCCTTCTACTGGTGGCGCCGGCGTCTTCCACTCCTTGTCCTCGTAAAAACCCTCATCCCTGTCGCGCCTCGAAGCAGGTCGGAAGGGCTGGCCGCGCGCTTCGCCCGAGACTCTCTCACACTTCCGGAGCCGGGAGCGCACAGTTTGCAGCAGCTTCGCGGACGGAGGGCGGGTCGTTTGCCAAATGCGAACGTCGCCCCGGCGCCGCGAAGATGCGTCTTAAGATGTTGCAAGCGTAGCACGGGTGGAGGGCGGGTCGTTTTCGAGATGCGGTTCCTACCTTCGCGCCGCACACTTGTTTTGATTCGCGGGTCGAGAGCGCATCTCTTCCGGTGGAAGCTGAGCGGGCCGCGCGAAGCTTGAATTAATCAAAGATGGGGGAGGAGAAGGGGCCTTAGCGCCGCACACACACACACACACACACACACATCCGTGTTATATCCCGCAAATTTCATTGATGGATATTGAGCCGTGTTCAACATGTGGCTCTCGCAAGAGCGCCGCGCACATTCGTCTTGAACATTTGCAACAGGTTCACGGATGGATGTCGGCCCGTTTTTCTATTTGGCTGTCGCCTCGTCGCCGATTACACCTGTCTGAAAAATTGAAAGGGCTTCGCGGATACAGGGCGGTTCTTTTCCAAAATATGGCTCTCGCCACAGCGCAGCGCACATTCGTCTAGGAGTTCACCATAGTTTCAACGATTCGCATAGCTGACATACCAACCAATCCTGGTTTAGCATACGTGTCGAACTGTCAGAACGCAACCCTTATATTGATTCGTGGTGTTGATGTCCCAAGAATGGTGATCTGGCACGATTCAGAATCCTCGGAACCAGAAAAACCGTGATTCGCGGCGTCCAAGTCCCAAACATGGTGTTTTGGCAGGTTCCGGAATGTCAAACACTTCTTTTCCAACAAGGCACTTCCTTGGGTGAAAATGAACCCTCGAAGGGGTCTGAGAAGAAGGGGAATTGGAGGGAGGGTGTTTTGCAATATCGTTGATGGGTATTGTGTTTACGCTGGCCCTCCTCCTCCTCCTCCTCCTCCTTCCCCTCCTCCTCGTCTTCCTCCTCCTCCTCCTCCTCCTCCTCCTCGTGTTCCTCCTCCTCCTCCTTCTCCTCCTCCTCCTCCTCCTCCTCCTCCTCCTCCACGTGTTCCTCCTCATCCTCCTCCCCTTCAGCATCACACCGATCACCCATTCCGCAGATACCCCCGCCGCCTGCGTTGGGCGTCGCTCAATGGGGGGGGGGGCGATGGATCAGAAGGGGGGGGAGACGGGTGCACTTCTCGGGCCCCGAAGGCCTCCTTTGGGGCCCCAGAACACCTTTTTTCTAGGGGCCCCAGCGGGCCTTTTTTCTGCAACCACCGGCGCCCCCCCATTGATCGCCCCCCACCACGCGACGCCCAAGAGGCTATGATGTCGTCACTCTGGGCGCTGCTCCTCGATGTGGGCCCTCTGGAGGGCCCTTTTTATCGGGCCCAAGGACCGTCAAACACGGGCCCAGGACGCAAAACCATCCCCAGTGAAGGAGTCGGGAGCTCTGGGGCCGCAGACTGAAAAAATCAGATCGGAGGATGTCTGGGCAACTCGTGCAGTAAGATTGCCCCTGGTCTCCTATCCCCCTGCTAAGCGGCGCCCTCGTGCGCGACGACGCACGCGCATTTCGCCCCATCAGTTGCGAAAAATTCTCGCGACAGCACGCGCGCAAGGGCGTTCGAACGAGTTCGACATGCGCGCGCGAAACCCGTTTGGTAGCATTTGTTGACAATTTGAACTACCGAAGATTCCATTCGCAACAGCGCGCGCGCATAATTGTTTGAAAAACAACGTTGCGAAAACATGTTGTTACATTTGTTCTGGCCACTCGATTTTGGAATCCCTACGACACCGAAGGTTGTTGAACGGCTCTGGCACCCGCGCGCGACAACACGCGCGCGTGTACTTCGTCAGGCCTGTTGGAAGGGATTTTTGGAAAATTATGAGTTTTGATAAACGCATGCGCGCGCATCATGTTTTTTGTCGAAAATGACGGAGGGGGCGGATACCGGCTCGGCCGGGATGGGACGAGCTCATATGCAGAACGGACGATGGGGCGGAATCAGATGTAAATTGCAATGCGGAAAAAAAGGGGACGAAAATTCGGGGGGGGGGGGGGGGCGAGTCTACTTTTTGAGAAAGGAAATTCGACTGTTGCAAACGATCTGACACATGCCACAATCTTACAAACATACCACCCACCCACCCGTAACTTGGTTTGCAAAACCCATGCGGCGGCGATTGCGATGAGTGCTTTGCTTTGGCTGGTGCAATCTCTGCGGCCGCGCCAGCCCGCGCAGGCGCGCGCGCAGCGGTCAACCAGTTTGGCGCGACCGGCGCGACCGCGGTGGCGCTGACCGCCGGGCGCATCCCAGCGCGCACTGAATCGGCGACTTGGGCGGGTGCGGTATCATGGCAACGTCGACAACGGGAGACGCGATGATGATAGTACCGAAGCGGGTGACAATGTTGACAGCAAAGACGGCACGGCGAGTGACGGCGCCAATGCTGATCATGCCGGCGACGATGACGGCGTCCTCGCGTCAATGATGAAGGTTCTGTAAGGAACTCAAAATGCGCGTGCGGCCAACGCGCGAGAGCGACCGCATGGTATCATTTGACACGGATCGCGCCCAACCCCCAGCACGCGCGCAAGGGCGTTCGGATGATTTCGGCATGCGGTGCGAGGGGGTCCGTTCGACAGAATTCCACGAACATGGTGAAAAACCCATGGTTAGCTTGAGGGTTCGCCAAAGTGCGAGCGCAAGCTGTTTCGAAGAATGTTGCTGCGAAGCCAAATGTTTCTGTATTAAAGGTGGTTTCGGGATGCTCCGTTTTGAGACCACTGCGAAATGTGAGGTTTATGAAAGATTCCGGCATGCGCGCGCGGGACGCGCGCGCGTGCACTTCGCCTCACCATTTGCAAAAGAGCTTTCACGACGAGTACGCGCGCAAGGGCGCTCGAACGATTTCGACATGCGCGTTCGAAGCCCGTTTGGTAGCATGTTGTGACCATGTGAGCAACCGATGATTCCCTTTGAAAAATTCGCAAAAGCGCGAGCGCAGGCATTGTCTGAAAACCCTTGTTCCGAAACCAAGTGTTTCTTATGTTTGTTTGGACACTCGATGTTGAAACCCTTGCGAAACCTAAGGTTTTGAAGGATGTTGGCATGCACGCGCGGCAACGCGCGCGCGTACCCATGTCATCATCGGCGTCCCCGTCATAGCCTCATCCCTCTTCTTTGAAACAGCATTGCTCTCACGTCCACTCCCCGTGCATTTCTCGATTTCGCGCGAGTATTTCTTCGCAGGGTGATCCAATATGTTCGTCGAGGATCCTCGCAGAGAATAAATGGCCACATGCGAACCCGCGAACCCTACTACCCCCACATCCGACGATTTCTAAGGGAGGGCGGGGGGGTACGGTTCAATCCGCTCGCGAGTTCCCCCCAAGCGGCGTGAACCCCGCCCACCCACCCTTTGAAATCGTGGGGGGTGGCAATTGGGGTTGACAGGTGGCCACCCGAAAGAAAACATGCGCACGTCCGAGCGAGGCCAACTTTCTTGGGGATGGTGTTGGTGTGTGTGTGTTGTGTGTTGTGTGTTGTGTGTTGTGTGTTGTGTGCTGTGTGCTGTGTGTTGTGTGTTGTGTGTTGTGTGTTGTGTGTTGTGTGTTGTGTGTTGTGTGTTGTGTGTTGTGTTGTGTGTTGTGTGTTGTGTGTTGTGTGTTGTGTGTGTGTGTGTGTTGTGTGTTGTGTGTTGTGTGTTGTGTGTTGTGTGTTGTGTGTTGTGTGTTGTGTGTTGTGTGTTGTGTGTTGTGTGTTGTGTGTTGTGTGTTGTGTGTTGTGTGTTGTGTGTTGTGTGTGTTGTTGTGTTGTGTGTGTGTGTTGTTGTGTGTTGTGTGTTGTGTGTGTGTGTGTTGTGTGTGTGTTGTGTGTTGTGTGTTGTGTGTTGTGTGTTGTGTGTTGTGTGTTGTGTGTGTGTGTGTTGTGTGTTGTGTGTTGTGTGTTGTGTGTTGTGTGTTGTGTTGTGTGTTGTGTTGTGTGTGTGTGTGTGTGTGTGTGTGTGTGTGTGTTGTGTTGTGTGTTGTGTGTTGTGTGTTGTGTTGTGTGTTGTGTGTTGTGTGTTGTGTGTTGTGTGTTGTGTGTTGTGTGTTGTG